CATTGGCTGCTCCTTCTTTTCTATTATTCCAAGAATACTACCACATCTGCCTTTGTTCATCTCAATTACATGGAGCATGGGGCGATTAGTAGCTTACAGATACCATTTGTTTGTCTTTAGTGCAGCTCACAGGAGGGGACAAGGGCACTGCATTTCTAGCAAGATTAGTAGACATTTTCTGTACTTGCTGAAAACGTTCTTGGCCTGAAGAATGAAAACAAAAGTTTCCCTCAACATCTAAGGAATAGTAGGCTGTAATAATATTCTTAGGTTTATTTATCCTTTAACTTAATCTTCTGATATGATGTGTTACTTTGTTCTCAGCATATCTGAGGGGGGAAAAATGTTTGTTTAAAAAACAAATAAATAAATAAATATTAAAAAATAAAAGAAAAAATAAAGAAAAAATACCTAGATCAAGGTTTGATCTAGTTCAGTGCCAGGGTAAGTGTTTGGGTCAAGGTCGGGTTCAAGGGTCAAGGTCAAAAGGTCAGGGTCAAAGGTCAGGATTTTTTTTTTTTTTAATTGGTATTAGTGTCAGTATTTTAGGTTAAAAAAAATGCGCACTATTGTTTGTGGGTTGTAGTACGGGTACAAACAACAAATAACATACACATATATGGTATCTCTGCAATCATCAAGAGCTGGAGAATTTATATTTGGTTGTTCTTTGGTGGTAGGTTATGGTAGTAAGAAGAAACACACAGCTAAATTAAAAAAAAATATATTTTTTTGTGTTCTGGGCCAGTTTTCCTTTGATAATAAAAAACAATCCAGAGATATCCATTACCATTAACCACCAAATGAAAGCCCAATTTGTCCTGAAAAAAACAAGGTATAATCCACCTGGATGTACAAAGTAGTTGTGATGATATGTACGGTTTTACTAACACATGTCAACGTTGAAAAATTAGGCATGAAGGGGTTAAAGTAGCCTGTAGCCTAGTTTTCGGTAATTTCAGCATTTATGAGCCTTTTGCAAAATCTGCTCCTCTTCCGTTATGTCAAAATACAATTATACATGTTTATGATCCCTCTATAGTTCCAGAATGGTCTACAGTTGTATCTCTACTGTTAAGTATGTAAGAGGTTACAGTGTCACAAATATTTCTGACACCTGAATTCTGCTCTTGGTTTTGTCAGAACACAGGTTCGAACATTCAGGCATTTGTTTGAATGCTGGACCTTTAGCTCTTTTGGCAAGAGCCAAACACTAATATATATATAGTAGCATTTTTTTCTACTGCTGCTATATCTGACAGCTTCTTCTGTCAGTTTTTTTTTTCAGACACCCTGCGCATCCTTAGCAAGTGATGTCACCCAGCCCTGTCATTTGCTGAATCGTTAACCATGTAAGCAAAGGGGCAAGAGGACATCAGCCTCCCAGCTTACATATTATGTACAACATTCTAGGACAGGGGCCTGTTGCCTGGGGCACACAAAAACAAGCGCTCTCCCTCATTTGAATCTAGTGCAAGTATAGTGTGCTATCCTCCCGTTGAGCTCAGCCACCGCTGCTACAGGAGTAAAAAAGAAAGCTTGGAACTTGGATGAACTTAGCCTTTACTAATAAAACCATCCAACTTTTATTTATTTCAGGTACTTATATAGCGCCGTCAATTTACGCAGCACTTTACATACAGTTGTGTTCAAAATAATAGCAGTGTGTTGAAATAAGTGAATAAAGCTCAAAATCCTTCTAATAGCTTTTATTTCCATACACACAAATGCATTGGGAACACTACACATTCTATTCCAAATCAAAACATGAAGAAAAATATATCAAATTTGTGTGTTGTAAAAAAAATTGAAGAAAAGTGAATATTATACTGTTCAAAAAAATAGCAGTGTTTGTATTCTTCTTTACAAACGCAAACATTCACTATATAAACTGAAACATGTTTGAAGATTTTGCTTTCCTTTGAATCACTTAATTAATATTTAGTTGTATAAGCACTGTTTCTGAGAACTGCTGTACATCTGTGTTGCATGGAGTCAACCAACTTCTGGCACCTGTGAACAGGTATTCCAGCCCAGGATGATTGGACTACAATCCACAGTTCTTCTCTATTTCTTGGTTTTGCCTCAGAAACTGCATTTTTGATGTCACCCCACAAGTTTTCTATTGGATTAAGATCCGGGGATTGGACTGGCCACTCCATAACGTCAATCTTGTTGGTCTGGAACCAAGATGTTGCACGTTTACTGGTGTGTTTGGGGTCGTTGTCTTGTTGGAACACCCATTTCAAGGGCATTTCCTCTTCAGCATAAGGCAGCATGACCTCTTCAAGTATTCTGATGTATTCAAACTGATCCATGATCCCTGGTATGCGATAAATAGGCCCAACACCGTAGTATGAGAAACATCCCCATATCATGATGCTTGCACCACCATGCTTCACTGTCTTCACAGTGTACTGTGGCTTGAATTCAGTGTTTGGGGGTCGTCTGACAAACTGTCTCTGGCCACTAGACCCAAAAAGAACAATCTTACTTTCATCAGTCCACAAAATGTTGCCCATTTCTCTTTAGGCCAGTCAATGTGCTCTTTGGCAAATTGTAACCTCTTCAGCACGTCTTTTTTTCAACAGTGGGACTTTGCGGGGGCTTCTTGCAGATAGCTTGGCTTCACATAGGTGTCTTCTAATTGTAACAGTACTCACAGGTAACTTTACACCTTCTTTGATCTTCCTGGAGCTGATTGTTGGCTGAGTCCTTGCCATTTTGGCTATTCTATCCATTCGAATGGTAGTTTTTTTTTCCGTCTTTCAGGTTTTGGTTGCCATTTTAAAGCATCTGCGATCATTTTAGCTGAGCAGCCTATCATTTTCTGCAATATTTTTTCCCCTCTCCAATCAACTTTTTAATCAAGGTACGCTGTTCTTCTGAACAATGTCTGGAACGACCCATTTTCCTCAGAATTTCAGAGAGCAATGCACTGTAACCAGCATGTACAACATTTGCTGCCTTCCTTCCTTAAATAAGGGCAATAATTGCCACCTGTTTTTCAAAGAATGAATGACCTCACTAATAGAACTCCACACTGCTATTATTTTGAACATGCCCCTTTCAATTAGTGATTCAATTAAAAAGAATCAGCAGCATGCATGTCATGCCTGTTGGGTTTGTTGGATTTCAATTACTCTACTACGCCTGCTAGTAAATTATTTGCCATGTAGAAATATAATTTCTACCAAAAACAGTGATTGATCAGGTTAGTGATGTCTGACTGCTATTATTTTGAACACAACTTTATATATTGTACATTCTCATCAGTCCCTAACCCTAAAGGGGTGTACAATCTAAGGTCCCTAACTTACATTCATACATACACATACTAGGGCCAATTTAAGACAGGATCTAATTAACATGCTAGCATGTCTTTGGAGTGTGGGAGGAAGCCTGGAGTACCTGGAGGAAACCCATGCAGGCACAGGGAGAACATGCAAAGTCTAGGCAGGTGGTGACGTGGCTGGGATTCGAACCAACAACCCGAGTACTGTCAGGCTGAAGTGCTAACCATTTAGCCACTGTGCTGCCCATAAACTTATTAAAACTAATCTCCAGGTTGCATTTAACTTTAATCATAAAACAGGGAGTGCAGCGCTACGTTATTAGACAAATAAACAACATAAAGGAATATGTGATTGATATAAGTCCACTTATAATATCATAATATGAGTTATGTAGTCCACCACAAAATGTCAATCACTGTGAGTATGGTCCGATGTTCTGTTGTAGAGGTATGAATAGATTGCCTACTCACCAGAAGCTATCATTGTGCATATCTAGATCACATGCATCCTGGGGTCCCGGGTAGAAACAGCATGGTGCTAGGATCCTCTGGTGGTCCCTCAATGGTATATAAGAAGGATAAACATGGTCTGGTCACAGGTGCTTAATCCTCAACAGTGCCTGAAATACTGGTGCTGAGATGTGGAGGCTCAGTGCAGGTATGGGGAATAAAGGTGCTCATAGCTAGTATTATGAATAATAAAATTTTATTGTATCAAATAAGAACAATGACGTACAAAACACAATGGCATCACCCCTACTGCAGATGTGTGTTTACACGAAACGCATAGGAGGAGCCCTTGCACGCCTTGACGTCACGCCGCTGGATCAGGAGGTCCGTCAGCTAACTTGATTTGTACTGGTCAGTGCTTGTTTGGGTGCTTTTTATGATTGCTCATAGCAGCCTCTTGTAACCTTTTTAGTTGCTTATATTCCTATATGTTAAAATTTGTCTAATATTTACGTAGCGCTGCACTCCGTTTTATGATTCTAGTAGGAAGGTTTTGTGGTTCCTTTTAGTGCATTGGTCGCTTTTCAGAGTGCGCTCACTAACTTACATATATTGCATTTAACTTTAAATAAGCCATTTGGACCAAGCTGATCCAAACAAACTATTTACTACACCAACAGTCGCAGTGGCTGTGTGTGCTTTATAAGCTGTATGTAGCATCTCCCCAACAACCTTGACACTGCACCTTTCTGCCCGCTAGCAATGCTGCTTTTCATATTCCACCACTGCTCCCCTTGTCACAGTTCCCCTTCTTGCATTTGTAGGGACATGCAGAGAGAAGGAGAGGCTGAGCTTGGACGTTTTGGGCTTTCTGCCCACTTCTTCCTCCCTCTGCTGACATCACCCCCTCCCCAGTACAGCCTGTAGAAACGACTCAACCCTTCAACATCTGGGGGCCCTATGAACATTGTGCGTGTTCCCCTGGGAAGGTGAAGGACACTCTTTATATCAGATTGAAACTAAGAGGGTGCAGTAACAGTTTGGTGTGACTACACTACACAGATAATTTCTGGTTAGATGCTGAGGATAAGTGCATTATCTATATACATATAGTGATGTTAAAAAAGGCCAACTTCCTGAACTCTTTGTGTTATTGGTTAATTACTTTATAGTGTGGCAATTGTGATCATATTTTTTTCTTTTAGGCCCTTGCAGTTCCTATTTTGTAACATTTTGCTTATTTTTTTTCTTGCAGTACTTGGGATGCATAAGGTATTGCGGTCCATGAGATCTTTAGATTTTAACACAAGAACTCAAATAACAAGGTAAGAGTGTCAATGGCCTCTCTTCTTTTCCAAACAAAAAATAGCAAAAGGGCTACAATAACTGGTTAAAATGTCACTCTCAACCATTACCTCACAACTGTGAGCCAAATGCTTGGCTTGTAGGTTGTGGCACATCATCTCCTTTATAAAATGCCATTTGATACAAAAGAGAACAACAAAAAAATGCTGATCACTTTTCAGAGCATGTGGTCGTGTATGAACCTAACATTAATGTATGACAAATGATTTCCAGAGCACCATGAGTTATATAAACAGTGCAGCAGTATCAGTTTGCCTAGAGGCTAGCTTTGTCTGTGAAACCTTGGCCTACACCCTCTGATAAAGGATGAGTCACTACAAGGAGTTGATTATATACAATGTTTGCACAACGGATCAAATTCAAAATCCTAACACTGACATACAAAGCTGTCCATCATACTGCCCCAAACTACATCACCGAACCTAATATCCAAGTACCATCTAACACGCACACTCCGCTCCTCTCAAGACCTCCTTCTCTCTAGTTCCCTGGTCTCCTCCTCCCATGCCCGCCTCCAGGATTTCTCCAGGACATCACCTATCCTTTGGAACGTCCCTACCCCAATCCATCAGACTATCACCTACTCTCCTTTCATTTAGGCGCACCCTGAAAACCCACCTCTTCAGGAAAGCCTACCCCACCCCCTGCTAATTGCCGACCTCCTCCACTCTTCCTACCACTCCATCCCCCACAGCTATCTCCTCCTGTACCACTATCCCCTCCCTCCTAGATTGTAAGTTCGAAAGAGCAGGGCCCTCGAACCCCTCGTGTGTCACATTGTATTGTTTTCATACTGTCGCATGTTCTGTCTCCCTTTTAATGTACAGCACTGAGCGAAACTGTTGGCGCTTTATAAATACTGTATAATAATAATAATGTTACATATTTACAAAGCAAGATAGATTTTTAAAAAATTCTGAATATTATAAATAAAGACTGCAGAGAAACAAAGGTTGGCCGCACTGGCTACGGTGTAGCAGAATTAAATTCCTTTATTGGAATCTTCACAGACAGTATAATAATAACATGACAGTCCAAGACAGGACAGAGAAACAGTAAACGCATTTCACACAAACACGTGCTTAGTCATTACTTGATGGATAAAGAAAACAATGCTCAATTCCTTTAAAGATTAAGTTTAGCTAAAAAAAAACTCTATAGATTTAGTGACCTAACTTACCTATAATAAAGTATGTCCCATATCATGCAGGCAGCTGGATCGTACAGAAGTCTTCTATGCAGGTATGCCCAGTGCTCTTCCTGTTGCTGAACTTCGGGAGCTGCGATAGTTAATAGCTGTGAAGCTGTAGTGAAAAGAGTGTGAAATCTTCCAATGGGGCACCTATTCAGATATCATCTGCCACATTGGAGGGATTCCCTCTCAGTTCTTGATGTGTCTGTAAGACAGAAGTGTAGGGAAATCTGCCCAATAAGACATATAAATCACAAAAGTAATGCAGGAACTACTTTCAAAATCAATGCGACTCTGACTCTGTCAGAGTCGCTCCTATTTGAACAGTTCCATTGCAGACAATAGGGTGCAACTTGGCATGTGATTTAAAATGGTCAAATCACATCACAAGTTACACCGGTGTGAACCAGGGCCTAAACTTTAACTACACATAGTTCAAGGCTTGTGTGACAGCATTCCAAACAATTAAAGCTGTTTTTAAAGCAAATATCCTAAATATTTTAGGTACTTCCAATATGCCTTAACACAATGGATACAGTCCTCCACTCACTCTGATGGAAATACATTAGACTATGTTTTCTCATATCTTTGCACTCCCTACAGCCTCACAAACACCCCGTGTTTCCTCTCTCTGATCACAATCTCATCACCTTCACAGTGTCCTTTGTCTTCAAACACCTATCCCTCCAAGCAGCAAACAATTACCCGCAGAAACTTTCACAACTTAAACCCTTCTCTTTTTCACACTGCAACTGACTGCCTCTATGACAGAATCTCCCCCTGTCCTTCCCTGACCTGACCTGGCCACTGCTGTCTACAACTGTTTGCTTTCATCCACACTAGACTCACTTGCTCCTCTAACAACACGAAGTACCAGGCCCCGACCGTTACAACCTTGGCAGACTGACAACACCAGAAATCTTAAGAGACATAGCCGTGCACTGGAGTGATTGTGATGTAAAACCAAATCTCAGCAAGCATTCACCGTATAGAAATATGATTTCTTAACATACAATTCCTCCATGCTGCCAAACAAGCCTACTTTGTCACTTGTCCTCTTCATCTGTTCTCTACTTTTAACTCTCTACTTTCTCCACCTCCTCCTCCACCCAGTAACTCACTCACTGCTTACGAGATTGCAAATAATTTCAAAAACAAGATTGGTGTAATTCATAGGGACATTACCACTGCACAGACATCTATCCCACTTAGCATACCTTATACCAAACCTCCCTCAACACTTTCATCTTTTGACCTTGCTACTACTGAAGAGGTCACCAAAGTTTTCTCAGAAGCCCGTCTCTTCACCTGTCCCCAGGATCCTGTCCCCTCACAACTACTATGGTCACCCTCTTCTTCTATCCTATGCTCCCTCACTCACATCTTCAATTTCTCCCTCTCTAATGGTGCCTTCCCCACCCCTCTAAAGAATGCACACATTACTCCCATACTTAAAAAACCCTCCCTGGACCCCACCAACCTGAACAAATTAAGACCCATCTCCCTGCTCCCGTTTACCTCTAAACTCTTAGAACGCCTAGTCTACAAACTGAGCTGATCTCACTGACAACAACCTTCTTGACCCTTTACAGTCTGGCTTTCGCTCACTACACTCCACTCCACTGAAACTGCCCTACTAAAAAAACTCACTAATGATCTATTAACTGCTAAAACCAATGGCCACTACTCCATACTCTTACTACTTGACCTCTCTGCAGCTTTTGATACTGTTGACCATCCCCTACTCAAAAAACTCCACTCTCTTGGTCTCTGCTCTCTCCTGTTCTCTCTCCTACCTATCGCAATGCTCCTTTAGCGTTACCTATAACTCTGTCTCCTCCTCTCCACTTCCTCTTTCTGTAGGGGTCCCTCAAGGTTCTGTCCTTGGATCCCTTCTCTTCTCCATCTACACCTCCTCCCTTGGTCACTTGTTACACCTACTCCCATGGCTTTAAGTACCATCTCTATGCTGATGACACTTAAATCTATCTTTCTACTCCTCACCTCACCCCTTCAGTCTCCTCTCGCATTACTAACCTACTAAGTGACATATTGGCATGGATGTCACTCCACTTCCTCAAACTCAATCTTTCGAAAACTGAGCTCTTACTATTCCCTCCAGCCTGTGCCCCTTCTCACCTGACTTCTCCATCAAGATCACAACCATTAGTCCCTCCCCTCATGCCAGGGTACTAGATGTAATCCTAGACTCCCATCTGTCCTTTCAGCCCCAAATCCAATCACTGTCCAAATCTTGTAGACTTCACCTCTGCAACATCTCATGATATGCCCATTCTTAGCCTCTGAAACTACTAAGCAACTTATTCACTCCCTGGTTATCTCTTGTCTTGACTATTGTAACTTCCTCCTCATTGGCCTACCTAATTGCAGGCTATCCCCTCTTCAGTCTATCATGAATGCTGCTGCCAGACTCATCCACTTACTAACCATTCCATATCTACCATCCCTCTCTGCCAATCCCTCCACTGGCTTCCCATTGCCCAACGAATAAAATTCAACACATCAACAATCACATATAAAACCATTTATAACTCTGCCCCAAATTACATCACCAATCTTGTCTCCAAATATCACCCAAACTGTCCTCTCCACTCCTCCCACTACTTCCTGCTCTCTAGCTCCCTTGCCTCCTCCTCCCATGCTTGTCTCCAGGACTTCTCCAGAGCCTCCCCCATCCTTTGGAATTCTCTGCCCCAATCAGATCAGACTATTACCTACTCTGCCCACTTTTAGGAGATCTCTGAAAACTTATCTCTTCAGGGAAGCCTATCCTGCCTTCAGCTAATAATGGAATCTTCTATTCCTTCTACCAGTCCATCCCCCACAGTTATTACCTTTTGTACCACCAGCCCCTTCCTCATAGATTGTAAGCTCCAAGGAGCAGGGCCCTCCTAACCCTCTTGCATTGAAGTGTATTGTCTCCCTTTATTTTGTAAAGCGCTGAGCAAACTTTTGGCATTATATAAATCCTGTATAATAATAATAATAATATTGTTTTCACTATTATACGTATATAGTTGGCAAAGAACACAACATTTTTGTGTGTAGGTGTTAGCAGTCCCCATAAGCATAAGGCCTACCATGGCTTCACAAAATAACTAGCTCATTTTGTAAATGATTTAGGATTTATTGTTTGCTTCTGCTTGCAAAAACCTTACATTGCATGCAGTTTTTCTGTGTCTTTTCTTTTTCTCTGTATGTTAAGAACAGCACAGTGACTGATTATTTGCTTTCTTTGGTAGATGGAAGTCTATTTGAGCTCTCATTATGTAAGAGAGAGCTGCACAGTACCTACTATACTATTTTTTTTGTTCATGATTAAACAATGATTTTGGAACTCTTTAAGCCTGGGTTTCTGTGCAATTTCCGCACCGCTTCATAATTGCACCTTGTTCATACGAACCACTGTGGGTGTGTATTTTAAGTTGGTTTCTTTCTCTGATGAAGTGCGTGTGCATGTAACGCGTAAGGAGGAGCCAGGACGTCGTGACGCTGCGCCGCTGGAGCCACGAGGAGGCCCGGCGGCCATCTTTGTTTACCGGAGGGTTAGTTTTACTTCTACACCCCGATGCTGTTTCCAATCGCTTTTATTTTGTTTGCAAACATCTTCTTACTCAATAAATATATAATTTAAAATACTCTGGGGTTTATTTACTAAAGCTGGAGAGTGCAAAATCAGGCTCACTTGTGCATAGAAACCAATCAGCTTCCAGGTTTTATTGCCAAAGCCCAATTGAACAAGCTGAT